TATATATATATATATATAATTAATGAAAATAATGATAAAATTATAAGAACATCCGGTTAAGGATTAATTCTCTTTGTTCTTCTAAAAATATGTTTTTGTAGATTTAATTATTCTATATTAATACAAAATTAATTTATTTGATTTTATTCATAACTTATTTCAGTTATTTGAAAGGATTTTAAAATATGAAACCACGTTGAAAACTTTTATTTTTTAATAAGTAAGATGTTGAAAAAAATATTTTATTAATTTTATATTAATAAACTTGACTATTTTCTATAAATTGAAATACTAAAATAGTATTACTTATTCTATTAAAAGTGTTAAAAGTTTATTTAATGTGTGTAATATATATTTATATAATATTATAATTAATATTTGTAATTATTGTAATTATTTTTTTAAAATTATATTTTTTAATTTAATTTGACAAATAGTAATGAATGAATTATCACTGAGTAATATGTTGAAAATTATTGATTATAAATTCAAACTAAAAAATTAATAGTTAAAAATTAAAATAAAAAAGATTAATTATATGAAGGTAAAACTTAATTAAAACATTTGACTTGCATCTAAAATTTGTAATTTGTTGAAAACATTCCTGACAATGACAATAAGATCAAGATAGTCACTTATTGTATATGCAAAAGGAAATAAAATTGTATAGATCAAAGACTATGAAATCCTGGATGAAAATTATTGAGGTGTTTTAATTATTTGGCATTTTAACATTGATTTCAATGTTTGTTGTAGGTGTTTTCCAATTTTTTGTTATTGTATAGTTGTGTTTTTCCTATATAATATATTTAAATATAACTAACTCATTAATTTGTTACTAGTTTTTAGTTGTGTTTTTCCTATATAATATATTTTAATATACCTAACTCATAAAAAATATATTTAATCCTCTTATTAATACTACTACTAATAATAGTACGAAAATATAATATAATTATTATACGTACTTAGTACAATTCTTAAAAAAAGGAGTTCATGTATTTTTTTCATTATTAAAATTTTGGAATGTTACATACACAAGTATATATGAAGAAATTATTAGGATTGACTTTAGTCATAAAGTTTGTGATAAATGAAAAAAAAAATTAAATTCGATCCTTATTTTAACGAAACAGTTATAAATATTTTTCTTTTTTTAGAATAAGTTCAAGTCAAATAGAGTTTATATTATTTCGGAAATCCAAAAATTCAATTGTACACAAATATAAAATACAAATTTTCCAATCTTGTGGGAAAATAAGGGGAACTAGATGTTGAATTTTAAGTGAGCAAACAAAATTCTATATTCGATGTATCTTTCCTATTAATTGAAAAATTAAAATAATTGAAAATAATACAAAAAATTATAAAGTAATAAATGAAGTTATTTAATATAAATTAAATATTTATTAGTGTAACGACCCGCCTGGCTGTCACACAGCTTACAACACATCACAACACCACATAGATAAGGACATGTATATATATACATAAGCAGCTAAAATATATAAATACAAGGTTTAGCCTGGGGCTTAAAATCAGAATAAACAAATTACATCCAAAATGGCCAAACTAGTGGCTAAAACAACAAAACATCAAAATCTACTTCTTCTGCCAACTGCAGACCTGCCTCAAGACCAGCCTATCCATGTTCTGCTCCCATACATAGTATGATCATCGCAGTCCAAACCACATGGAAACAACAAAGGGTAAGCTAGTGAAAAGAATCTATACAAACACATATAATTACAAGAACTGAAATCAGCTACAGTTAACCGTATATCATCTAGTTCAACAACATCAGCATATAATATATCACAACATACATCATTTGGCAATAACAGCAATAAACACACAATGCATCGTCACGCATATCACCTCGGAGATCTCCTACAACAGCTCAGCCTTATGGCCTACAACAACTCAACCTTACGGCTTCAACAACTTAGCCTTACGGCCTATAACAGCTCAGCCTTACGGCCTACAACAGTGCCTTACGTCATTAACAACATTAATCATTCACCACACAACAATCTTATCATTCAGCTCAACAATATTCATCAATAACAGCTCAGCTCAGCATAACTCAACATTTATCAGCATTTCTCAACATTTATCAACATTTCACAACATCTACCAGCATATAATATCATAAAATATAACACCACACCTGCGCCCGGTGCACTCATGGTCGCGCCCGGCGTGGCCCAACTAGAGAGCATCAGGGCTCAAACGCGCCCGACACAATACCAACTGCGCCCGGCGTGCTAGGAGGCAGAGACCTCAAAAGGTCTCACACGCCTGGCGTGCCAAACCCACGCTTGGCGTAGGGTAGACAGAGACCTCCCCAAGGTCTCACGCCCGGTGCAATACCAATTGCGCCCGGTGCCACCACTGGCAGAGTCTCCCAAGGAGTCTCCACGCTCGGCGAGACAAGGTCACGCCCGGCGCCACCACTAGTAGAGTCTCCCAAGGAGTCTCCACGCCCGGCGAGACAAGGTCACGCCCGGCACAACACCAGAAATCCACAAGCAATGTCACTTACTGATATTGCGCCCAACACGGTCCTACCACGGCCAGCGTGGGCCATCTAAAGGCTCGCATTTTCAAGCTCGCCCGGCGCACACACCCTTTGCGCCGGGCGGGCTTGCTCAAATGGAGCCCTCTGGTGGTCATGCGCCTGGCACCAAGAACTGCGCTCAGCGTGATACTCAACAGCAACCCTCAAACTTCAAAAATTTCTTCAAAACCTGCATAAACAACCAAAAAATCTACATGCAATCGGCCTAAAACATCACATTTTCACCCAACATTTAAAAAATATCATCTTTTACAACATGCAACCACAAATCGTTAAAAACCCCGAATTTTCACCCAACCCCGAAAACCCTGAAAACGAGTTTTCTTCAATCTTAGCCAAATTCATCAAATCATCAAACCATCCATGAGTTACTAAAATCATTTTCACACAACCGACATGAATCCTAGCTTCCCTTACCTCGGTGCAAAGATTCCAGAAAGAAGAAAGGAAGAAGAAGAGAATCCGCACCCAGCTAGCTCCGAACGGCTTCAAGTCCGAGAGAATGAACCTCCTTGTTCACTCACGACTTCAGCTAGAGAGAAAAGAAATTAGCCCCAAGTTTCAGAGAATTTGTGAGGAAGAAGAGAGTTTGGGAGAAAACAAGTGAAAGAGAGTGAGAGTGAGGGAGAGAAAAGGAAAACAAAAATGAGAGTCTCATAATTAATATGTTTAAAAAAGTTCTTAAAAAATCAAATTTAGTCCAGAAGGAAGTAATTGTTACTACATTCTCTCTTTTAAAATATAATTACACTTTTAATATAGTAAGAAATTCCAAATTGGTAATAAATAATGTATTTTAAAAAAGAATTTTTTGGCGGCACTAAAAAAATATATTGAGTGCAAAATAGTATTTGTTTGCTAAGGTTTCGCGTCCAAAATGGAGCAATTTTACCATTAATATTAGCTATAGATAACTTAAATAAAGAAAGACTTATTTTTGACATGAAAGTAAACAAAAACTTAAATCCTTACCAGTATTTATTTTTAATTAATAATAATAATTGTCGTTGCTTCCTTTCCCTTTTATAATATAGTCACATTTGAATGCAGGGAGAAGTTGGAAATTTGCATAGTACCGGACCCTACATTTTCCTTTTCATAATTTTTGTCAACAATGACAGGAACACACATTGCATATCCATCCATCCATTAATCCAAATATCTTATTCGACATTAAAAAAATCCAAATATTTTATTTGACATCCCACATTATAGTTATTAATATTATACGAGCAGAGAAGGAAGCATAAACCTTAATTTTCTGTCACGCCACTTTTGTTCTCTCCCTGTCCCTCGTAACCAAACAGTTCCACCAACCTTCAATCCATCCTCTCACTATCAACACACACACACACTCTCTCTCTCACTCACATCACACATCACATATCACACATCACACTCTTGCATCTTCACTCTGTCACTTCGTTCATATTTCATAACATGAGCAAATCCCGAACCTCCACTCCCCACTTCCGGTTATGAATCCCCCCCAACCGCCGCAACCCCACCGGCCCTCCACCTCCTGCCCCCGCCACCCCGACGAGAACTTCACGGGCTTCTGTCCCTCATGCCTCTGCGAGCGTCTCGCCCTCCTCGACCCCAACACCACCCCCTCCCCCCGCAAGCCACCCTCCTCCGCCGCCGCCGCCGCCCTTAAAGCCCTCTTCCGCCCTCCCCCTCTCCCCGAGCTCCGCCGCACCAAGTCCTTCTCCGCCTCCAAAAACGAACCCTCCTCCTCCTTCGAGCCCCAGCGCAAATCCTGCGACGTCAGGGTCCGCAACAACACCCTCTCCAACCTCTTCCACCAAGACCTAAACCCCCCACCGCAAAACGACAACCCCCCACAACAGGAGCAAGAAGAAGACAAAGACGAGACTAGGGCTTTGGAGGAGCCCAAGCCCAATGTGAACGAAATCGAGGAACTTGAAGAAGGAAAAGTAGAAAAAGAAGAGCTTTTTGGCGTGGTGGAAGAAGAGGAAGAGGAAGAAGAAGAGTTTAAGACGATGAAGGATCACATGGAACAAGACTCTTCCCACGCGAAGCAGCAGAAAAATCGCGACTTTAAGGACCTCGCGGGGAGCTTCTTCTCCGCGGCCTCGGTTTTCAGCAAGAAGCTGCAGAAGTGGCGCCAGAAGCAGAAGGCCAAGAAGCGGCGGAGCGCGCTGCCGGTGGAGAAGCCGATCGGCCGCCAATTCCGCGACACGCAGTCGGAGATCGCCGACTACGGATTCGGCCGGCGCTCCTGCGACACCGACCCCCGCTTCTCGCTCGACGCCGGCCGGTTCTCGCTTGACGCCGGCCGGATGTCCTTTGACGACCCGCGGTACTCGATCGAGGAGCCGCGGGCGTCTTGGGATGGTTACATCCTCGGGAGGACTGCCGCCCTCCCGAGGATGCCGACGATGTTGTCGGTGGTCGAGGATGCGCCGGTGCCATCGGTGCCGGTGGCACCGGCGCCAATTAACCATGTGGTGAGGACTGATATGCAAATTCCCGTGGAGGAGGGTTTCAATGAGGATGAATCTGTCCCTGGTGGGAGTGCACAGACTAGGGAGTATTACTCTGATTCGGGTTCTAGGAGGAGGAAGAGTCTTGATAGGTCTAGTTCGGTTAGGAAGAGTGTTAGTTTGGAGGTGGATGAGTTGAGTAATGGGAGTGGTGGTGTGAGTAATAATGTGAATGTCAATGTGAATGTTAATGCTAAGGTGGCTCCTGCTGGTGCTGGGGTGGAGTATGTGCAAGGAGTCAGGATGATGGGGCTTAATGATCGCGATCGTGGAGAATTCGGGTCGAATTCGATGAGGGAGGATTGCTGTTCTGAGAAGATGTTTGATGTGGGTGTGATTGAGAATGGGGATGGGAGGAAGGGAGGGAAGAAGGGGCGGCGGTGGCGGTGGAGCATTTGGGGGTTTATTCACCGGCGTGGCGGGAACAAGGACGAGGATGAGGATAGGTATAGCAGGGTGAATGGGGTGGAGAGGTCGTATTCGGAGTCGTGGGGTGGCGATGGCAGAAGTGGTGGTGGTGGTTTTAATGGGAGGGTGTTGAGGAGCAATAGTAGTGTGAGTTGGAGGAATGCTCAGGGGATTGGGAATGGTGGTGGGGGCTTTGGGGGTTTCAGGAGGAATGGTAGTGTTCAGGGGAATGGGAATGGGAAGAAGGGGAAGGACGAGTTTGTGTTGGAAAGGAATAGGAGTGCAAGGTATTCTCCTAACAACATTGACAATGGTCTCTTGAGGTTTTACTTGACTCCCATGAGGGGAAGCAGGAGAAATGGCTCTGTGAAAAGTAGGTCAAATCAGGCACATTCCATTGCAAGAAGCGTGCTTGGATTGTATTGAATTCACATGGAAGAAGAAGGTCCATAAGGTGTTCTTTTGGTTTGATGTTGTTAATTTTGCTCTGCATTTCTTGTGTAAACCACACATGCCCTATGTATTATTATTACTATTATTATTCTTAATGGTTGGTTGGTTAAGGCACCCTGCATTTTTCTTTCGTCATGCTTCTTTGGTTTACTCTTAATAACCAGAGTTTTTTCTCTGTGTTCCTTCTTTTGCTCTATGCTGCTACCGGTAGTGAATAGTGGCTTAAATGTTAAATCTCTTCCTTCATGCCCTTTCAATTTAGCAGAAAAAAGAATGGACATGTGTCTAGATTCATGGCGCCACTCAAAATATGCTTTTCCTTTGGACTTGATATGGTTTCTTTTTCTGTCTTTATGCTGCAAAAGCTTTGGTGATTGGCGTGAGATCGGAAGGCTCATAATTTGGGAGCATTTTTAACTTGAATTTTGGCATGTTTTATATTCCTGCAAAAGTGGTTACATGGTGGGGCTCATGCCACCTGCAATCGCTCTTTGTCATGAGTTATAGTTTTGAGTACAACATAACCGGTCGATCCTTTTTCCCTTTGGCATCAATTAACCAAACTTTATTACATGTGACTTATCCCAGACCATGGCCCCATAAACATCAACTCATATCAACATATTTATGTCCACTAAGGAAAATTTAGAGGTTTGAAAATCTCTGTTGTGTAAGATTCAACTTATCAAAGGTGGTATTAACACCTTTTGGCGTTTCTGCATTAAGGGTACACTCCATTATGAGAAGTTACGACATTTTCACTGATGTGGAAAGAGACCACTATGTAATATTGTTGTGGGGTTGGAGTGATGAAGATTAAGACACTTGCATTTGGGGTTACCGAGAAAATGAACATGAGGAGGGTGGTAATAGGAACAAGACAAGAGTAAAAGAATATATAGGGATAAGAGTGCAGAAAGCTGGCCCTCCATGTTTGTAAAAGAAGAACAATTTTGCAGATTCTGTGTTGGAGCTACTGATTGACTTGAAACTAGAGGAATATTAATGCTACTGGTATGTTAGGTCAACGTCAACTGAACCTTGATGGTGCAAAATGTAATTTTATTTTAGTATAGAAAGCATAGCAGGTGCATGCCTCTTTGGTTTTTTATTCACGAAATATTGTGATTAACTGCTCTCTGTGGTATTCACTGTGTTTCACATGTAATATTTTGAGCTATTCATTTTGTATATGGAACGGGAAATGAGAAATGTGTCTTTGCAACGTGTGGTTAGCTTTTATCAGATTGAATTTTCAAAGTTTATTTTGAATAAAATCGATTTTGATGTGAATTGATTTGTTTTTAAATGTTCTATTCTAAATTGAAGTTAGTAGTTAGTACAATAATTTTGCAAAAGTTGTTTAAACTAATTTTGGACTTAAAAGTCATTTTTTTTTAATTCGGGATCAAACATATAGACATTTACTTAAAGTAACGTAAGTTGATATCTTAACATGATTTTGGATGATCTAATGTGAATCTATCGTGTGTCAAAATGAGTTGTGAAAATGATTTTAATTTAATTTGGTTTTGAAATGAAATGATTTTATGTTTAGAAGTCTTTATCTTGAAAGTAAATTTGATGCAAAATATGGTGCAAGATTTTTAATCCAACTTATTATTATTATTTTTTATATCAATTTTATTAAATTGATATTTGGAGGTAAAGTTAATTTTACTTAATAATAATATAACATATATATGTTTAGTAAAATCATGTTTAATAAAGTCTAAATCAATTTTGATATTTTTCACTTTGAAAGTAAACGATCATTGTGGTGTCGATTTTGGATTTTAGAACGTATGTGTTTTACATATTTGAAAGATATTTTCTTTAATCAAATATTTCCTTTAATGTGAATTTGGAAATGTAGTATTATTGTTTGTTTTAACTTTTTAAAAAAATTCTAGGTATTGGTCTTATTGGAAGATATTTTTAATTCTATTGTAACTTTTATTTTAACGCATATTTTTTTTATCTTAATTATTTTAAAATTATAAGAATAATTTTAAAAATGTTAAAATCAGACGAAACATATTTTTAAAAATTCTCATAAATAATGTTTTAAGTTATAATATTATGAGAATGTGATTATTAGCAATGCAATAATATAACTCAAAACAAGTACTCCTTAGTTATATTCTATTAAATAAGTAAAGGGAAAACTTTGTCATTGAAACATTCTTAGTGTCTTATTCGTATTCCATCATGTCAACCTAGAGTGTGTCTGGATACACGTTTGAAAATCACATTAATGGAGAAGTAAAAAATTTTTACTTCTTATTTTCACGTTTTTGATCTCGGACGGACGTGATTAAATGTGTGGAAACGTATTTCCAAACACACTACTAGACTCAAGTCTGAACGTCAAAGGCAAACTTACAAGAAGTTGTTTCAAGATTTTGCCTTATTAGATGCGAAATCGGTGTTGGATGGATGTCATTCATAAAAATGGTTCCAAACATGCACTTACTTAATTAAATCAAACCTGATTCCCTTTCCAGTAACATTTGAGTGGACAATCTAATTAAAAAAAAAAAAAAAGGAACACACGATAGAGAATTGAAAAGAAACTTTTAAGAGAAAAAAACTAATAATAGAAGAAGAAGAAAAAAAAAAGATAGATCTTCAAATCAAATACTTAAATAAAAAAACAATACACAAGAAAGGAATGAGAAATCATAATAAATTCAAATATATAAAATTAGGGCAAGAAGACATAAAATTTTAAAATATTTATACGTAATATTTTTAAAACAAGAGAATGCACTTGCACACCCCCCTCATTAGACATGCAACTGTTGCTCCCATGAGGTTACATGTGATTTCAAAAAAGAAAATAAAAAAAAAACTCTTGAACTTTTATATTATTTAAGATCATACAATAGTCTTAACTGTAAAGCCCAAAATGCAATTTTATATTTTTATTTATAACTTGTACAGTTGAGATTCTTTGGGAATTTTCAATGGTATTAGAATATTATTTCATGGGACAAGTTTTGTTCTGCAGAGATTGAGGGAAACAGATTTTGGATGCCCCAAACAGGTTTTGTAAGAAGGGAATTGCCGACCTTGGAGAACTACAGGGAAAGGCAAATGATGCAGAATATATGGGTCGGTCCCTACTAAACAAACAATTACGTATGTGAGATTTGTCGGTCCAACCTCATAATTTATCCTCTTTTATGTGTTTATTTATGTCAACTCGTCAATGTTGTTATATCATAAAGTATTTAAGCTCCAAGTTATATATAATTGTATTTTGAGTATTTTAATGCGTTTTCACATGTGAAAATCAAATGCACTTCAAATCTGATATTTTTATTTATTTTATTTTATTTTTTATGTTTAAAATAGAGGAATGAGAGGATTACAAATCTTAAACTTGGATTATATTATAAATTTGGAAACCGGTTTTCTAAAGATTAAACTATTATGGTGAGTTTACCCAGGATTTATCAGAATCTTCTTACATTTATAATATGAAATCTATATTGTGTTTTGATTCCAAAATCTGTTTGTAAAAGTGGTGCTTAATTTGATTATTAGAGAGACTTTAATCCTTTAATTTGATATGGACTGTTGGTGTAAATTAATAATTTTTACGTTATTAAGAATATGATACTAAAATTTATTAATAATTTTTACGTTATTAATAAGAGTCAATCATTTATACACTGTCAGTGTAAAGTTTTTTATACTAGCTACCAATGATATCTTTTAAAGTTACTTATTTTATTATTATTTTATTAAATAAGCAACTGACATGACATTATTAAAAGATATAATTGGTTGTTAGTATAAAAAAACTTTACACTAATAATATATAGGTGGTTAACTCTATTAAAAATACTGTAAAAATAAAATGTGTAAATTCACTTAAATTAATACCATTATTAACGATTAGAGGGGTTGAGACACTTTGTACTTCTAATAATTACACACAAATAAATATTAAAAATTATATATAATTATTTAGAAAAAATATTTTTTTTTCTTTTATATTTTAAGGGATATAATGATCTACTAAAAAATAAAAAACAAAAAAGTGATTACCAAAATATATCCTCTTTATAATAATTGATATGATACAAAATTTACGTTAGAAATAATTCGCACCTTGGAAACTATGACTTCGACCCATTTGTCAAATTTTTTTTGACGAGAAACATTTTTATTTATTTTTAAAAATTAGTATGCTTATTTAATATTTGAAAAGTAAAATATTGAAAAAGAAATTAAATCTATGGTTAGTTTAGGAAATTTAATAGCTTTTATTATTATTTTAATTTACTTTAAGTGGTTTTTGGAAAATACAAAAGGTTAATACTAAATTTAAATGAAAATTATATATATATATATTTATAATTTCAATAAAAAGCTTCTACTTTACATAAAATATCCAAAACATAAATCATTATTTGGTACAAAATTAAAATCACTTTCTTTTTTTCTTTTTAAAAAAAATGGTTTGTGGTTTATAATTGTCACTCCAGTTTTTACCAGTCAATCCATTCTCCGTTGTTAATTCAGTCATCACTTTTTACCACGGCGTTCTAAAAAAAATACTACAATTATTAAATACTATTCTATTCCCTCAAAGTAATATTTTCCATATTAACCTAAAAAAGTTGTTCGTAGATTTGTTATTTATCTCGGTACCCGATTTTGTTCAATCATGATGGTTTGATCCATGTATCTTACCCTATTGGGAAAATTTTTCGTTATTTTGTCGTACACATTTGTTCAACTTTAATGGTTTTGGCTACTGAAGTTACTTGGTATTCCACATGCTAACGTAGGAAAAGAAAAATATGTCTAGCAACATGGGAAAGCAGTGACTAATAAGTCCAAAAAAGAAGCACTTTAAACTCTGTATGAAGCTCAAATCCCATCATCTAGACATAAATTACAAGTTAATGATTGTTGCTGAAGATGTAAGATCAATGCATGACCCACCAGGATATTGAAGGAATAAAATCCTTCCCCATTTCAATTACCAAAAATTATATTTGATGCTTTCTCTCTTTTCAATACAATATATGTAAAGCAAGCTCCATTATCACCGCGTTTGCTACACAAGTCAAAAAAGTTAGGAGGAAAACATCTATGCATGTCACTGCTTGCTCCAATGAAAGTTCGGTGATAAAGAAAGCAAATTACGGTGGAAAAGAATTAGGGTTGTGGGGTAGTGTAAAAAAATTGTAAGAAGAAAAGCTTTTCTGAGAAAAAAAGAAAAAGAAAAATAGAGGATCATATCTCAAAATGGCATATTTAACTTAACTAAGAACATGTTTGGATATAAGTATAAAAAAACTTTAAGAATATCTCTATTAAAAAAAATACTCTTAATTTTAATCAAAAAATTCTAAAAAAAAAATATTTTTTTAGACTATATGCAAATGGACTCTGAATCAAAAGAAAATTGTCAGCAATGCTATACTTGTCTCTCTTTTATCAAGTGAGAAAAATGAGTTGTGGGTAAATATATCGATTAATCTTAGAAATAATCTGTTCTTTAAAATTGAAAAAAAAATAGTATTAAAACTCGTGTTAAATAATCCTTTACATATCAATAAACTCTTTAAATATTGGTTCATAAATAGCTACAGCATATATCAAATAAGAGAAAATTGATAAATATTCAATATGTCAGGATTACTAATACAATTATGTTATTTTTTGAACTATTTATGAGAAAAAAAATAATACATAGAAGATCAAATTGGTAGTTGATTAAAAAATATATAAATATAGTTCTTCATGGAGTGGGTAAATTTCTATAAATATATTTCTTGGCAATAACTTGGCCCAACTAATCTTGCACCAGCTTAAACAGGCTATTAATTATGAAATTATTAAGTCAAAAATTGATAATAGTTATTTGTAATATTTATTCCATTATTAGCTTAGACCAAGTATTTGTTAAATAAAGCAATTTACAAAAAAATAAAAAATTTGAGGTACAAAACTTGACTTTAACTAACATAAAATTTGACTTATTTTACTTCTTTAATTTAATTTATTTTTTCCTTGAAACTAATTCTTAGTAACATCAAATGACTTGATCGTTTCACTCAATATGGAAGTCATTTTTCCATTTGGGTAATAATAGAACTAATTTTACATATAATATTTTTTTTTGAAGAATCTAAAAAAAATTCGAGTCAGTTAGTGCAACAAGTCTTGCAAATGTGATGACTTTTGCAACAAAGTGATTGTTATTTTTTTTAATAATCAATGGCTGGCAATTTCAGAGCTGAAAAGTTCTATGAAACGAAGGATACAAAGACTTTCCTCTCTGAAAGCCCATTAAAGACATCATTGAACCCAAAAAAAAAAAAGTAGGAGGCCATACTCCCTTTACTTATATTTAGAGACAAATTTAAATTTAAATTTAATTTAATGTAGAGGAGCTTTCTCGAGTGTCCTACACTTGGGAGAAAGAGCACTTTGGTTTCCTCGCTTCCTTGGTTTGGGCCTTTACTTTGTACTTTGTAGGGATCATCAAGCACTCCCTTTAAGATAATCCAATAGTGGTCCTATTACATGAGCTTTGCCCTGTTTAACATGAAGCAGTGAGAATCTGTAACTAAGTGTTAACTAACTTCAACTCACAAGCCAACATATGCAACAACCTCCGAAGATAGCCAAATGTTGTTGTGCCAAGGTAAAATGTACATACTAAAGGGTAGTTTTTCTTGAGTTTTGGATGGTGTCCTAGAAAAGTCTTGAATCAATCTTATATATTATCTTAATTGATTTATATATAAAATATTTTAACATAATCACTTGAAAAATCTACACTTGATAAAGTCGACTTAGTGATATTAAAATTAACCTAATCACTCTTAAACAGATTTAATTACATTAAAACTGACTTAGTCACGTCAAAATCAATTTTATCACGTCTTAAATAATAACTTTAGAATCTAACAATCCACATATGACGCAACACACTATATAATACACTCCATAACAATTTATCTATGTAAAATAATAACTCTCTCACTATAAGTAGTGACATGAGTTATAGGTTTAATATCACATCTTCTCAAGACTCATTGTTATTCAGCCCATTTTTTTAGTGACTTAGATGTTGGAGTGGAGTACTTGCAAATTATTTCCACCTTCGTCGTTCAATCCCTTGGATGCTGCCGTGCCGGAATCGATACTCGAGGTACCTTCGAATTCCTCATCCGAACACATGGCTAGATAAAATATCCATTATTCATATGCATTATTAGCTATCAACTTTCAATTTCATGCACTTACACTATACTGTTAATATACGCACGTGACAATATTTTCACTGTACAGTGTATATATTCATTAGCTAGCTACAACGTGAATATGCCATGGAAATTTAGGACAGGATTGTTCAATGAATCACGTTCATTTGGATCTTCTTCCAGTGACCAACCACTATTCCTACAACTCCACTCTTGTAAGATTTGAAGGTTGATGAAATATGGGAGATTTTTTGATGGGAGGTCGATTGTCCAAATGTTATAACTTACATATGGGACAATGTGCTGTTTAAGAATGTGGTAAGTTTATTAGATATAGGACAGTAAGAGGAAAAATGAAAGAAAAGCACTAAGGTTGCCACTTGTAGTTATCTGATTCATGAATTGAGCGGCGCAGGTAATTTGGTTGGATCAAAAGCTTTTTTTTATAAGGAGATATGATGTTGAAATCTCATGTTGACAATAGATTCATATGCTATGAAGGTTTGGACAACCTGCTTCTCATGAGCTAGCTTTAGCTTTTGGGATTGAATTGTGTCAAACCAAAATTCAAGAGACAGAAGAGATTTTGTGGTGAGAGATGGGAAAGTATGCTTAATGTAAATTGATCCCACGTGTATGGGATTGAAATTTTTTTTTTTTTTTTTTGTTTTTAATTTGTAAGAATGAAACTCAGTATTAAAAGGATTTAGAACAATTCTAGACTCCTTAATAGGGGATTAAAAGCTTGACAATACTAATAAATTCTTTGGAGAGAAATTTGAATCAAAGGTTGCTTTCCAACTTCTATGTGCATGATTGGAACCCTTTTGCAGTAAAGCAAACGGGATTTCACACTTTCCCTGACTCAAAATAAGGAAGCAATATTTTGTTGCTTTGTCATAGAATAAATTTTTTTATACGTTCAACTCTAAACCAAAAACACCCTATGTCCTGTAATAATCCTATATAGAGCAGAAAGATATGGATAACATAAAATGAAGGGAATGCTGGATATAGGGTAGAAAACAGAACTTATCAAATAGGGATTGTTGAATGACAAAGAAAGAAGAATGACATTGCTCTTGGATTTTGATATCAGATTCTGCACATGGGCTTTATGCCTGATTTACCATGTATAACATTGTGATCATGTACTTCATTCTCCTGGCTAAGAGGTATATTATCTGCAGCTCTACATGTAGTTGCAGAGGAATTCACAATACCATTATGGAAGGTTTTAAATGGATGCATTTGGGTTTTTGGTGATGCTTCAGTGCATGGAGCTTTCAGAATTTGCCATTACAATTAATATGGTAATAGTATTATAATATACTCATCACAGTTGTGATTATGCTTCAAGTTAATGCTTCTACAGGCTTCTAATAGGTTAAAGCAATTTTTTATCCTACTTTTTCTTCTTGCTCTTGTTAATGGGCTTTGTTTGAGAAACAAGAGTTTTGGTGAGAGCCCAATTAGAGTGCTATGGGTTCTGTTAATTGGTTGGTTTCCCAATTGATACAGTGACCACTGACAGACATATCTACACCTATTCTTACTCAACCAAAAGGGGACAAATGTTTTCTATATACGTGTTTTTGTTGTCTTTCTTGGCTAAAGTGCTAAAGTACCTATCAGGCATGGCCCATGATTAGCATTTATACATTTACATAAAAAGATTGGGTGTGTGTTTAGTTTGAATTTATAAACGTAATTTTTCACTCTCTCTCCATGGTTTGAAATAAATTTACGTGGAAGATCCAAAAGCCGAAGCAAACACGCACGGGATAAACACATTCCAAGTCCATGATTCCAGTATGAGATGCACTTCGTGTAGATACATGATTAATCACTTTTTACATTATTACTACAAGGAAAGTGATTTGATATTGCGATACTTGGTACGTGGCACGATGAATTTGGCACACGATACAAAGAATAGTGTAACTAGATAGACGATACAAAGAACTATTGAGAAAATTTTGAATTTGATATGTGATATAACGAGAGAAGAGTGCAACTACATAGAGTAATGTTACGTGAACACCTTTCTATATTATTAGTGTAAAAAAGACATTTTATATTTTTTAAAATTAAAAATTAACCAATTAATAGAAAAACTTTTGAGTAAGTATAGTTGTAAGAGTAGTTTCTAAAAAAATGGTAAAAAGAAAAATAGTAGTTTGAGAGATAATTATAAAAATAAAATTATTAAAAAATTATGTACTTCAAATGAAATAATCTTCTTTATTAATAGTATAAGAACATTCTATTAATATTTTTTTTCCCTCTTATTATAACATCATACACCTTATCAATCCTATACTTCTCTTTCTCACTCTAAGCGTCAATTAACACTCAACTATCTATGAATTGTTTTCCTTTAAGATGAGGAGTTGCTTTGGTTCATGTGACTATAATGCTAATTTCATACGGGATTTAAAATGGTAATTTCATAGCTCGGGCTAGATTTGATATTTACCGAGATCATCAAATTGTTACGTACCTTAACATTATTAAGTTGTTATACTAACAATTATTTTAAAATAAAAAATATTTATCTCACATTTTTTTTACTTAGTTATATTCTATAAAATGTGAAATCGTCCTATGCATAAAGAAAAGAAAAAGAATAAAATAAACTCTTTTAACCATTTAAAAGATGGTTAAAATAAGAATTTAGTAAGTAGTTCTACACTCCTGAAAAAAAAAGAAAAGAGAAAGCGTGTGTAAAAGAAAAAAAAACCGTCGTGTGTAAAAGAAAATACAAGATGAATAAAGAATATAACAATGATTTGATAAGAATTTAATAACGCGTTTAGATAAAGAATTTTAAAGTTTAAAGAATTTAAAATTCTTAAAATTTGAATTACCTTAATTTTAAATGTCATCATTTTTTAAATTATTTTTTTTGAGTAAGTCAATTCAAATATTTGAGATTTTAAATTCTTAATTTAAATAAAATAATTTAACTTTCACTGTAGATAAAATTAAATTTTATAAAATTAAATATTAGGCAATTTTTTTATAAATATTAATTTTATGAAACTAATAATTTAAAAAATTATTATTAGATAATATTTAATAATTTTAAAAAATGATTTAAATATTTAATAATTTTAAAAAATCATTAATATTTTTTACGTTGATTTTGAAAAGGAAGAAATGGAGGTAAGGAAAAAAAAAGAATTTTTCAAATTGTTATTTTTGTATAAGAATTTGAAATTCTACATCTTTATAAATTATTAAAGAATTTTACAAATATTTAAATTTTAAATTCTTTATAAATTTTTTTAGGAAAACAATACATCTTATATCAAAGCATTTAAAATTCTTTAAAAAAACAAATTAATCACTATTAAAATCTATGAAAAAAGAAAAATTGGATGCCCGTGAGATAAAAGAGAACGTTAATATATTTTAAGTATTTTTTAAGGGAGTTGCTATAGTACTCTCAAAGATTGAGGGGTTTCAATACATTTTTCTATGTAAACTCATAAAAAATTTAAAAAATTAATTATAAAATAAATAATCTAAATTATACTTATAAAATAAAATAAGATAAAATTATAGAGATTAAAATTATAAAATTTTAATAATATTATAAAATATTAAAAAAATAAAAAATTAATAAATAATAAAAATAAAAAATTATTAAAATTA